TCCTTCTCCTTCTCCTTCTCCTTCTCCTTCTCCTTCTCCTTCTCCTTCTCCTTCTCCTTCTCCTTCTCCTTCTCCTTCTCCTTCTCCTTCTCCTTCTTCTTTTTTGTAGAAATATGATGGCCGCAGAACAAAAAGAGAAGGAGATGTCAATGTGGTTGAGAAAAGGCATCCAGGTAAGACTTTGCTAGAGATGCTGGAATACTACACACCGAGGCCAAGAAAACAGTTCCTATCTCAGCAATGGCCACGTGATCTTAAGCATGCTATGAAATTTCCCAAATCTGTAAAGTGAGAATAATTGTAACTCTCAAGAGCGAGTCAGTTCTGAGGATTAAACACACAGCATATTCACTGGAATATTTATCGCTCTGGCCAGACGCCTTACCAAAGTCTACAAGAAAGAACCGGCCTGTTTAGGCTTACAATTTAAAGGGCCAGGAAGGGATGGCAGCTGCAGCTTGAGGTAGCGGTCACCCTCTGTCCACACTCGGGAAGCTTAGGGAAGAATGTTCATGCCCGGCTTGCTTTCTCCTTTTCCTTTAATTCGGCTCATGGAATGGCACCATCTACATTCAGGGTGGGTTTTCTCTTCCCAGTTAAGCCTTTCTGGAAACTCTTTCAAATACACATCCAGACATGTGTCTCCTAGATTACTACAAATCCAGGCAAGCTGACATTGAAGATGAGCGTATTGCACCATACCGGACAGGAGTCTCTTCTTTTTTTCCCTTTGTGTTTCCCTCCTATTAATGTAATTAATGGGCAGAGCTCTTAACTTGGGGATGAGTCCTAATTGTGTTTTGCTTTTGTATTTAAGCAAATTCTAAAACTCCCACTAATGACTGGAACACTTTTTAAAAGGTGAAGTTGGGGTTTTCTCATGTTGCAGATACTTCAAGGAAACCAAAGCTAGGGTAGGGAAGAAGAGTCGGTAGGTAATTCAAGCCTGTTTCCCCTTAACTCTGGGTAGCACAGAGACTGTGGGAATGACTGGCCTAGCAGAAGTGGGAGGAGAGATTTGTATGAGGCATGTGTAAGGCACGTCTCCTCGTGCGCATGCTCTGTATGCGGCATGTGTAAGGCAAGTCTCCTCGTGCGCATGCTACGTCAATGTCTGGATGTACAGAATGCAGTGACAGGGATAGTCAGGGATAGTCCAGGAGCTCTAAGCAGGACAGGATGACTGCTAAGTGATCTTTCCCATAGATAAATACCTTCTAATAACTTCTCTCTACCTCCAGTCCAGGAGTATGAAGTACTGCTTCAGATGACGTACAGAGATCCAGAGGAGAAGGGAAAACTGAAGAAATTTCTGAAGCTCTTGAAATCTCGGTCGCTGAGCTTACATGGTCCCAGCAGGATCATCAGAGTGAAGGCTACCACATGTAAATTAGCTGTCCAGTGACTGGGAGTTAGGGAGGAGGGTGGGCCACAGCAAAGGGTTGCTTTGTGAAAAATGAGTCTTCCACAAGCTCTGTGGCATCAAGAGCTAATGTTTCTTCTTCATGCAACATGCTGGCAGGGGGCTGTGTCCATGGCATGCCAGCAGAGGGGCTGTGTCTATGGTTGTCCCTCAGGTACCAGCTGACCAGGGAGATCTTACTTCAAATGCATCCAGTCAGAGCACCAAAGAAATGAAACCCTGGAGACTCTTGCACAGGCAATGCTATTCTTTGGCTGAGAAGGGACAGACATTAAGTCTACTCCTATTTTATTGGCTATAATTTGTCCAGCCTTATGGGGTCAGGATATGAAATCCCACTCTGTTTCTTGAAGATAGCAAGGACTAGTTGGTAGCACAACCCACAAAAGTGGCTTCCAGCGAAGTTCAATGAGTTGGGCTGAAACTGTGAGTGTCAGAGTGTTCAGAACCCAGCTAGCAGCAGGAGCAGAAAAACACATAGAAATGCAAACTCTTTGGTCCATTTCAGACTTGTTGGCTCAGGAACTCTTGGGGTGAAGTGCTTCAGGGAATCATGGGAAGGTTTGACCAGCACTCACTACACACTTCCATATACCTTTCTCAAACATACCATGAACCATCCTGTTAAGAGGGAAGGATTTTTGATGGGGCATGTCAGGCCAAATCCACATTGACGGATAGACATTTTCGTCATGTGCCTCACCTCTAAACCATTCTGCCTTCCTAAATTTTTAAAACATTAAACATTTGTATGTGTATGAGTGCATTGCCTGCATGTGTATGTGTGTACTATGTGCCTGCTTGGTACCAGAGGGGATCAGAAGAAGGCTTCAGATCCACTGGAATTAGAGTTCCAGATGCAGCGAGCTATTGTGTGGGTGCTGAGAACCCATCCCAGGTCTCTGCAGAGAAGCAAGTGCTCTTAAACCCTGAGCCGTGTTGTCTTCAGGCCTGGCATGTGGAGTGCTGATAGATGCCGACTGGGGCTCAAATGACACAGTGGTCCACTGCCCTTTAGCCCTCTTCTGTAGCTCTAGGTTGTGACTATGCTCGCCTGCCTTTCTCTTGCACCACAGTGGATACCTGTGGTATCAGTAGCCTTGTTTTGGATGTTAAGCCTGGCCATTTGGGTTTTTATCTTTGCTACAATTTTTCACACTAATCTTGTAGTCTACAGAGTTGGGCATTTCCGCACCTTAAACGCATTGCTAATCTTCCAGCTTCTGCTGAGAAATCCTTGGTTCAGATTCCCAGTCATAGCCAAGGACTGAGCAGATGTTGGTTTAGAAGGCAGACACCGAGACGCTGTGTTCTATTTCTTTTTCTATACGCAGACTGCAGAAACGGAAAGGAGTTCCTGGAGTGTGCCTGCGAAGACAGCTATATGTGGTTTCCTCCATCCTGCCTTGATCCCCAGAGCTGCTACCTTCACACAACCGGACATCTGCCAAGCTGTAATTGTTCCCCTGGAGGCCTCAGGCAGAGCGTTAATTTTTGTGAGAGAGCAAGTAAGTGCCTGTTGGCTGGGATGCCTCATCCCGGCAAACTCCAGAGACTGTACTGTACTCTGGCTGGCTAAGGCATGCTGAAGGGCAGTAATGAGGTGGTGATTGCATTGAAAGGCCTGCTCTGGGTTGTAAAACATATATTGTGAATCACACACACACATACACACACACACACACAAGAGAGAGAGAGAGAGGGAGAGGGAGGGGGAGAGGGAGAGTGAGAGAGAGAGAGAGAGAGAGAGAGAGAGAGAGAGATACAAAGACAGAGACAGTTTGTGTCTTGGATTTTTCTCTGCGTGTATCTCTCTCTCTCTCTCTCTCTCTCTCTCTCTGAGACATAGACAGAAATAGACATAGACTGACACACATACACACACAGAAAAATACAAGACACAAACTCTCTGTCTCTCTTTCTATCTGTCTCTCTTCTGTTTCACCAAGGATGCGATGAATCTAGTTACATGCACTCCAGACCCTAGTCTGACTTTAAGACAGTTTCCCCTGTAGCTCATGCCTATAATCCTAGCACCCAGGAGACAGAGGCCAGAGGATTGCTTTGAGTTTGAGGCCAGATCGAGCTACATAGTAAGTTCCAGGACAGTCTGGGCTATAGTTTGAGACACTGTCTGCAAAGGAGAATAGAGAAGAAGAGAAGAAAGAAGAGGAGGAAGGATAGGTGGAGGGGAAGAAGAGGAGGATTAGGAGGAAGAGGAAGATTAGGAAGAAGAGAAGGAGGAAGAGGAGGAGGAGGAGGAGGAGAAGGAGGAGGAGGAGGAGGAGGAGGAACATTCCCCTCCAAAGACTACTCTAGTCATCTTGAAGCTCTGGGTTTTAGATCTGAGGAAAGAAAAGATTGAAGGAGGAGCCAGACATAATTCCGTTTAACCGGACATACCTGGTTCACCTTCCCAGTACCACAGCTGCTCATGTTGTGGCTGTCCTATTTATTAAGGATTATCTTCATGTCCAGTTCCAGGGTAAAGCCTCCAGGAGACCACAAAGCATTTGTCTTGCTATGTATGTAGGGGAGGCTAGGTTGTAATATAAGAGGCAGTTTCTTTAACAAATACCAATGAAAGCCCACATTTGGGGGAAAAAACCCTATTTGTGTGTCATCTACAAGAACTAGAAAAAGGACTCAGCCAGGCATTGTGTTCATGAAGGGCTTCCCACAGTATTGTGGAGGCAGGTATAGCCAGATGGACACAGTGGGGCTAGAGAGCAGAGGTAGAAAGAAGTTTCCTCTTGTGGACCAGAGAAGGGCTTCCAGAGCAGCTAACGATTAGGCCCTGAATGAAGAACAAACAGGAGTTGTCCTTAGAGAGAGAGACCAACTCTGTACAGACAAGCACTAGCCCTGAGCTAGTAAGCATGGTGTTCATAAGGAGTTAGCAAACTGCTTTAAAGTTGTGTTATGGGAGGATGTTGTGCTGGGGAGATGTCTCAGTAAATAAAGTACTTGGTGTGAAAGCATTAAGACATGAGTGTAGGCCTGGCAGTGGTGGCGCACTGTAATCCCAGCACTTGGGAGGCAGAGGTAGTTGGATTTCTGAGTTTGAGGCTAGCTTGGTCTACAGAGTAAGTTCCAGGACAGCCAAGGCTACACAGATAAACCCTGTCTCAAAAAAATAAAAAACAAAAACAAAAAACAACAAAACAAACAAAACAAAAAAACCACCAACCCTCCCCCCCCAAAAAAAAAAGACATGAGTGTAGATCTTTAGCTGGGCACAGTAGGGAAGGAAAGATTCAGGATCTCTGGGCTACCTGAATTGGTAAGCACCAGGTTCAGTGATAGACCCTGTCTCAAAAAATTAGGTACAGAATAATTTAGAGAGACATTAGACATCCCATTTCCATGTATACACACACACACACACACACACAGAAAGAGACACACACACACACACACACACACACACACACACAAATGTTCTCATGACTGTTAGAAACTCACCATTGAAAACTCTGGTTTTCTTTTTTTCCTTTATTATTTTAGATGAATATATTTTATGAAAATAAATGGAAATACCATGTATTCAGAATTGGACTTTCATAATTTCATGCTGCTGATAAAATCAAGTTAGACATTTATTTTATGTAAAGACTTTTTCTCTTCTATTTCCCACAGAGGTTTGGGGCACTTTTGAAATTGACGAAAAATTTCCTGAAGACCTTTGGAATTCATCATCTGATGTATATGCCCACTACGCAACTGGAATTGAAAATCAAGTAAGCATTATTTATTATGTAATGATTTTCTTTCTAACCATAAGTTCCAGGGCTTTTCAATTTAGAATATGCATTTGATATACATTTCATATGTGTGCATATTTGTATATAGGACATACCCATGTGGGTGCTGTGTGCACTTATAGGGGACAGAGAAAATGAGAGTTAAATATTGTCTTAGTTCCCTGTTAGACAGGGCTTTTGTTTTGACCTGAGGCTCACTAATTCAGCTGGCTGGCTAGTAAGTCTGTATGATCTTTCTGTCTTGGTCTCCTGAGTGCTGAGATTATAAAAATGCACCATCACATCTGAGTATGCACATGCCAACAGAGCCCAGAAATGGCCATCAGAACCCCTGAAGTTAGACTTATGGGTGACTGTGAGTCACTCAACATGGATGCTAGGAAGGGGAAACTCAAGTTCTCTGCATGCTCCTAACTGCTGAGCCAACTCTTCCGTCCCTGTCTTAGTCAGGGTTTCTGTTCCTGCACAAAGATCATGACTAAGAAGCAAGTTGGGGAGGAAAGGGTTTATTCAGCTTACACTTCCACACTGCTGTTCATCACCAAAGAAAGTAAGGACTGGAACTCAAGTAGGTCAGGAAGCAGGAGCTGGTGCAGAGGCCATGGAGGGATGTTACTTACTGGCTTGCTTCCTCTGCCTTGCTCAGCTTGCTTTCTTATAGAACCCAAGACTACCAGACCAGAGATGGCACCACCCACAATGAGTCCTTCCACCTTGATCACTAATTGAGAAAATGCCTTTCAGTTGGATCTCATGGAAGCATTTCCTCAACTGCAGCTCCTTTCTCTGTGATAACTCCAGCGTGTGTCAAGTTGGCACACACGACCAGCCAGTCCATTCCCTTAGTGCATATTTAATTACTTATTTTGGATGAGCTCCACTCTACCCACAGTTGATGATTCTTGAGCATTTTCCTGAGACTTTATTTCTAAATTGCCTTGTGTCTGCTTTTGTGTATTTATTTGAATATTGTACTAAGGATTCTTGACTATTTTATGGTTTTTAATCACATACGGTAAATTTTCACAACCTAAGCTCAATTGTCAGCATTTTAATTTGTCCCTCAAAGGAGTGTCTCTTAGAAGCTGAACAGATTTACTGAACAAAACGTTACCTCACAGTGAAGTCCCGTAAGAACTAGACCAGTCAATCTGAAGACCAAAACATAGACTTGGGTACATGACTTCACTGCAGTCATTTAAGAACAGACCAGTCAGTGTGGCTATGTTGAGGACCAGAACATAGACCTGGGTACATTTATTATATTATTAGTACCCTACTCCTTGCTATCCTAAGATGTTGATTATCCACCATTATCAAAGCCTCCCTGTCTCTCTGTTCATATGTGAAGGCCAGAGGTAGATCTCAAGTGCCTTCCTGTTAAAAGGTGTCTATATTATCATTGAGATTATTTTGAGTCAAAGTCTCCCATTGGCCTCACCAATTGATGAGACTGGTTGACCAACAAGCTCTGCCTGTCTCCACTTCCCAGGGCTAGGGCTCCAGATGCATGGGGCTATATACTCTGCTTACATGAGTGCTAGGAACCTGAACTCAACTCCTCATGACTGTGGTGATGACTTTGCAAATGGAGCCATTTTACCAGCCTCTGATAGCTCACTCTTTCTTAGCATCATCAAAAACAAAGTGTGTGTGTGTGTGTGTGTGTGTATGTGTGTGTGTGTATTCTCAATTGTTACTTGACTGTATTTTTATGACATATAACTTCTTCCCGTGGTCCCTTCTCCTTTTGCTCATCTGTTAATGCTTTATTTATTGTTTCATCTGTATTTTGCTCCAATGTCCTTTTGATGTGTGAGGACAAAGCTTGAATCATTGTCTTTTGTTTTCTTTTTAAGCTCAAAGAAGCATACAGAAGAGTCCATGGTTTTGAGTCAGTTCAGGTCACTCAATTTCGGTAAGTACCATCTGGTCTTAGAAGGGCTGCTCTAGAATTCCAAACTAGTCCTGAGAATGCCCAGTGATGTCCCTGCTGCCTTTGTCAGGATTGTAAAGTCAATGCTAGGCAGATAGTTTAGTCAGTGTATACCTTGCAAGGATGAAGTCTGGAGTCTGACCCCAGAACCCACATAACAGTGCCTGGCATGGTAGTCCACACATCTATTCCCAGTGACAGGGCAGTAGAAACAGGGGATCCCTGGGGTTTACTGGCCAGCAAGACTCATCTAATTAATGAGATCCTGGCCAGTGAGAGATGCTGTCTCAAAGGGAGTAGATGGTATTCCTAATGGCAACCTGAGGTTGTTCTCTGATCTCCACATGCAAGTATGCACATGCATGTGAACACACATACACATTCATACATAGAAGAACACACACACACATACATTAAAAAATTGTAAATACATGGGCATAAGGTGATGGGACCTTGAGAGGAAGGGGGAGATCATAGAGTTCAGGTTCAGGAAGGGGTGAAAGGTGGCATTAGGCTGTGGGTGTAGAGAGGTGAGCATTTCCTGCACACCGTGCATGGACAGCGGACTTGGCGCTGTATAATTTGGAATCAGGATGGAAACCTTGTACAAAATAGCCTTCTGGCCAGGCAGGCATCAAGTATAGACTATGGTTCAAAACTCAGAGGTCATTGTCTATAGCAAATACAGGGATATTTAGTAAATCCGCCTTTTGTTTATGATTCAATTCAACGTTATTTGGAGTTGAGCATGCCAGCTACTTGTGGTCCACTTGCTGGAGGAAGTGGCTCAGAGGTCAAGGAACGTGACTCATTATTTTTTCCATGGTTCACTTCAAACCAGTCATGGGGAATTTTCAACAACATTTGCTATAAATATATTCCTATTCCATAAAGTCATTTAGAAAGTCCCACGGGAATAACTTTCTTTAAAATCCAACACAGAGAACACTGCTTCCATCTTATGGCAAACATGTATCATGGATCATTTTCTTCTGAGCCTTTGCTGTCAGTGATGGAGTGTCTTAGATGAAGCTGAGATCCAATCCCAATGAGTCTTACACTCTAAAGCTGAAAAGGTGTGATGGTGCGTGCTTGGACTCCTAGTGCTTGGCATGTGGAGGCAGGAGGATTGCTGTTATTTGAAGACGGACCTAGAGTGCAAAGTGAATACAAGGGTAGCCTGGGTTACACAGGTACACCTTGTCTCAAAACAAAATAAATAATCAGTAGGAAGACAGCTGGCAAATGGTATAGGGAACCGGGGCATCAAAGCAAGAACACCAAGAGTTTAGACCTTGGAGCCCCCGAAGTTCTCATTCTCCTAACCCTGCTTCTCTTTGTGTCTCAATTCCTTTTGTTTAACTTGAAAGTAGATCCTTTTCTCATACAATATATCCTAATTATAGTTTCCCTCCCTCTGCTCCTCCCACTTCAATGTGAGCAGCTGTGGGGCTGGCGAAATGGCTCAGCTGTCAAGGATACATATTGGTTTTCTAGAATTCTTGAGCTTAGTTCCCAACACCTATATCAGATGGTTTACAACCATCTGTAACTCCACCTCCCGGGCTATCTGATACCCTCTTCTGATTTTCCCCCCTTGGCATCTATACCTCATGTGTATGTACTCCCCCCTAACACACTGATACAGATTTTTAAAAAGTAAACATTTAAAATTTTATATTTTATACTTTATTATAAAGCATGTAAAACCTCTTTTTTAATTGAAGAGAATATAACACTAAGATAGGAGTAGCTGGGCATGGTGCCCTACACATACAATCACCGCACTTAGGAAACTGAGACAGGGGGATTGCTGCAAGTTCCAAGCCAGCCTGGGTTCCGTAGTGACAAACACAGAACCAAAGAGTGAGGGTAACAGGGTGCTGATCTCATAGATCCACCGTAGGGCTCATTTCATCAACATGTGTGCACATGTGTGCTCATGCCTCAGACACCATCTGTGTTCCTGAGGTTTCCATCGGTGTCACCTGGACTTGGCCTTGCCCCTGAACTCTGAATGTGAGCCACCAACCTGACATCTCTGCTTGCTCTTCCAGTGAGAATGCCAAATACATGTCCACCCCTGCTTCCTCAGCCTACCCACTCCTGGCCAGCCACCTTCTCCACCTTCTTACCAGTTGCTGGACTCAAACCTCTGCTGTCTTTTATGTTCTGAGCTGTATTTTATCTCAGCAATGGTAACCCTAACTAAGACATCATTATAAGGACCTGTTTCAAAAACCAGAGAAGTTTGTCATGGAGAAAACTTCTCCATGCAGCCATATGTAATGTGAGGTCTTTACTTCTTCCTTCTATGCTTGTCGCTGTCTGCCTGTCTTTTCATGACATTTAACATTTAGAAATGTGTGTGGACATATGTATGCATATGGGCATGCATGTGCATGCAAATGAATATGTACATATGCTTGCATGGATGCAAATGTATGTGCACACGGATGTGTGTATGTATTTGTGTGTGAATATAAGTTTGTGCGTACTCACATGCATGTGTTATGTGTATGTGTGTTGCATGTATTTCTCTGCTCCATAAAGGTATCCAGCAGATCTGCTTGCTTCTTTCCTATGGACTCCATGTCACGTACTTCCAGATTTGCCCTAAGAGACTAAACGAAGGTTCAGTGAATCTCTTTCTTCCCACATTCTTACTGCAGAAAGGGAAGCATCGTTGTTGGCTATGAAGTGACTGGCTCCACCAGCCCTGCTGAACTCCTTTCTGCTATTGAACAGCAGGCTGACAGGGCACAGGCGGCCCTGAGAAGGCAGTTTCCAGTCAAACATGGCTCTTTTCGAGTGTTTGGGAAAGGTAAGGCTGGGTTCTCATCTTTGTTTCAGTCCTCAGAAATTAGAGTTCTAAGAGAACTGTTCTAACACCTACTTTTGTTGAAAACTGGCCGTTTTCCCCCTCACCATTGGACAAACTCAACCCCAGCTGACTCGGAGGTTGTTACTAACTGTGTCACCTGGGCTTGGCCTTGACCTTGATTGGAGATCTGGAAACACTGACATCACTACTGCCTGTGATGGACGTGATTTGGCTGTGCTTTGCTGGAGTATGCATTGGAACAGCCTTGGAGCTGACAGTAGTTTCAAATCACCATCCAAAGACCCAAGGGGAGAAGGCACACACCCACCTCTCTCTCTCTATTTTTAAAAAATATCATCTTAGTTCATTTCTTCTTGGTAAGAGAAAACACCCGGATAAACGCAACTCAGGGGAGAAAGGGTCTGTTTGCTTCACAATTCCAGGTTACAGTCTATCCTTGGAGGGGAACCAAGGCAGAAGGAATTTAAAACAGCTGGTCACATTCACAGTCCAAGTCTAGGATCCAGCCCTTGAAATGGTGACACTTACATTCAGGGTGGGTTTTCCTATCTATCTCAGTTAACCAATCCAGTCAAGAAAATCTGCCACAGACCTGCCCATATAGCATCCTAGACAAGTCCTCATTTAGACGCCCTTCCTA